ATGAACCGTGTGCAATTGAACCAGGAATTCTGCAGTACTATTTTGGGTTCAAACAACTGTTTTATTATCTTTGGAAAATTAACCTGATCCATTGATTCTGTTCTTCAAGTGATGACATGAAAATAGTGGTATTTCAAGCACTGCAAAAACTCCTTAGGATTAGGATATTTCTAACCTATAAGAGGGAAGCAGGAAGAAGCACAAGAAAAGGCAAGCACTGATATTATGTTTGCTATGAAGCACTGATAGGATTGTATCTCCTGTCCTAAGAGCTAGAAAAAACTATAGGCTGCTCTGGCTGAGGGTGTGCATCACCCTGTGCAGCGCGGTCATAGAGGCTGAATCACAGCACTTGTTCCTTGTACCCTGCAGCTCTTTTAAACATGCATAAAAAATGTGTGTTGAGTGCTGATAGCTCACCTGGAGCTGACTCTTGCAAACACATGTAGTTTTACTAGAGAGAAACAATTTTAATCACTTGTCCCTGGACACATGCAGTCTTTTCATATATCATTGCACAGAAGAGTTTTTTGTACATATGTTAAAGTATGTTGTACTACAGTTTTCAACTATAGCCAAAAAGATTGTTCTTTTTTCATAAATCTTTGAGATATGTAAATGTGTATACAAATAAATAAATACATAACAACAAAAAACCCCCAAACTCATACATATAAACACATATGTTTCCATAAACATCTATTGGCTTTTGTTCAACAAGTCTAACAAGATATATAAACATACAGAGGGAAAGTGGTACTTTTTTTTTACTTTTATGGAGTAAAGTGTGAAATTCATTTATTGAAGGGAATTTTATAATATATTAAACTTAGTATTAAATATAGACAGGGACTTCCAAACAGAATTTTTAGAATAGAATTTTAGTAGTATATTCATAAGAATGACCTTTCTTGACAGGTAGCAAATCATTAACTCTATCATGTGGTGTCCATCTGATTTTAGTTTCAGTTTGTGTTATATCAGTAAGCCATTTAACTTTTCTTGGATTGCAAGACTTGTAAAGGTATGGATGGGAAACCTGCAAATATGCAAATCTACAGTTTTTTAAAGTGAAAAATCTCTATCTATAGCCAGTATTGAGGTAAGTCTGCATTTTGTAATAGCATTTTAAATGTATTGTGAGAACTTAAGGTCTTGCTAATCACATTTTATAGTTTCTGCTTTATCACAAAATGATTCTGTAAAAGTATGTTAGTTTTTAGAGCAGGCTTGTATTTATGTTGGCTGACAGACACTTTACTCTTCTTGCTCCTGTCATGTTAGATCTCATATAAGACCAGGGACAATGTAATTCTGAGTGATATAAGACACTGTCTCCCATGGCACTTAATTGTACCCTACTTGGTACATAAGACCACAGTGCTCTTTGGAGTGCTATCATGCATAAAATATAGAGAATATTAAGGGCTGAGATCCTCGACAGAGATTTCATGTGCACCTGTGAGCAGGCATTTGTGCTTGGGCTTGGAATTAAGACATTGGATATTCAGGAATACAGATTTGTGAGTGTCTGATAGATTTTGTTTTTAGGTTACCATGTGCAAAATGTAAACCCTCTGTCTTACCAGCCATTCCAAGGCTCTTTCAAGGCTATATTCCATGTTCAAAATAATTATGAGACTGTGAGCAAGATGACATGATTGATAATGTGTGGCTCCTCATTTATCTCAGCTTATCTGATGGCTTCATATACCACCAAGATGTCCAGATTGGTCTGCAGACTGCCGGCATGGCAGCAGTTTGGACGGTATGTGTGTCAGAAGTAGAAATCACCTGGCTCACAGCTACTCTTCATGCTGTTGTTCCAGGGGAGTCTGGACATAGCCTGTAAAGCTTCCATTCTTATTAGGATAATATGATAATGAGATAATTCCTCTTTGTGAAGTGCTCAGATACAAAAGGATAGTGAGGTTGTGAAGGGAGAGGAATCCTGTTATGCTCTTTATTCATTTCAGGTACAAAATTGTACAAATTGGCTACTCCTTGCCACTCAAATGTTTACTGCAGTATTACTCATTAAACGTGAACCTTGGTATACTGCCTACTTTGGCCATAAATTGCCTATCCGAGGAACCTCCTGTTTGGGTTCAGTTATTGACTGACTTACGGTTTCTTGTGTTTCCTGCAACAGTCAACTAGTGAACCTGTTTGTTTTGGGGTTTTTTAAATCTGTTCTAAAAACCGTACATAGTGTTCTGGTCACAAAAAAGGATACAGCTTGATAAAGGTGGTACATCAAGTTGCAGAATGACATGATGTTCTTATATAAGGTAAATACAGTTTCCTTTGCAATTTTCTTGGATGAACCCTAGTAATAAACTCTTAAGTTGGTTCATACACAAGTTTTCAGATATGATACATTTATAAACACAAAGTTCAGTTTATGCTGGACTTTGTACTGATGTCCACTTCCCTGAATCTGACTGTAAATTGGATATAAATGGCATTAGTGATTAGAAAGAGATTAGTGGTATTTTGTTGGAAAGGACAGGAAAGAACAGCGAAACGATTCCAGCTATCCCAGCTGTAAGATTGCCTGATCTTTCTGACCTCTTCTGGGCCAGGACATTAAAACTAAGTAGGAGATGAAACAAGAGGCTAGACATAGCTAAGGCCTAGATCTCAAAAAATAATGTTTAGACACTCAGCACTTTTTTAGGCTGTTATGTTCCCACTTGTCTCCATTAGGAAATTAAGATCTTAAGTTCTCTTTCTGGATTTGTACCTGCGTCACAGCGTAGATGAGCTCAGTCAACACAAGCAAAGAATAGTCATTATCTTTGTTCATGGGATATTAACCAATTGTCTCATTTCATTCCTCTGTGGCAGCCTGCCTAAATTCACAAAAATCCAAAGGAGACCTGCCTCTGCATGCCCTTCCCCTGACCCAAGTTCCCTGGCGCAGCTGTTCCCTGTTGTATTGTCTACTGCTGTTTGGTGGTGGCACCGGCCCAAACCTGGTGCTTTAGCATGTCCTGCAGCCCATCCTTTGGGATTGCTGCCAGCAGCTTTTTCCTAAGATATGCAAATGAAATAAGGGGCTTTGTCATCTTAATGTTTATAGCTTCACAGAGGTGGAAATTAATGAGACAAAAAATGTGCTGCCTTATATCTTTTCTGTTTCACCTGGCAAATGCCACAGATCTACAGAGGAAAGATGTGTAAGCACTACTCAAAGAGGTCATAAGTATCCTTGCAATGTTAGGCAATGTACATGTAGTTCGAACTACGAGTTATTTCTGTTTGTAGTAGACTATGTGGTTAGGTCATCTGTATGTAGCTACTACTCACACAGCTTGGGAGACATTTTCCAAAGAAGTGTAGAGTTGCAGGTCTGGCTCTTTTACGAGTCTCTTTAATAGGAGAGCTGCAATCCTATTCAGCATTTTCTTGCTGCATATGGAAAAACAAGCAGAAATTATAAAACCACTAGACATATGCACACCAATGCAGTAACACATCTGGAAATGACATAATGATGTGTACTCTGATACAACGGTGTGAACTCAAGACAGGAGCTTTCTCAGTGTTTTGCACTGTGTACAGTAAGGGAGAAGAACTCAGAAGTTAAAGTTCTGGGAAGGAATCAATCTTTTTTTCATAGAATCATAGAATACTTTGGGTTGGAAGGGACCTTTAAAGGTCATCTTGTCCAACCCCCCTGCAATGAGCAGGGACATCTTCAACTAGATCAGGTCGCTCAGAGCCCTGTCCAACCTGACCTTGAATGTTTCCAGGGATGGGGCATCTACCACCTCTCAGTGCAACCTGTGCCAGTGTTTTACCACCATCATTGTGAAAAATTTCTTCCTTATATCTAGTCTAAATATGCCCTCTGTTAGTTTAGACGTATATCTAGTCTAAATCTACACTCTTTTAGTTTGAAACCGTTACCTGTTGTCCCTGCTGAAAAGTCTGTCCCCATCTTTCTTAGAAGCCTCCTTTAAGTACTGGAAGGCTGCAATAAGGTCTTCCTGGAGCCTTCTCTTCTCCAGGCTGAACAAGCCCAGCTGTCAAAAGCCTGTCCTTGTAGGAGCGGTGTTCCAGCCCTGTGATCATTTTGGTGGCCCTCCTCTGGACCCGCTCCCACAGGTCCCTGTCTTTGCTGTGCTGAGGGCTCCAGAGCTGGATGCAGGACTCCAGGTGGGGTCTCACCAGAGCGGAGTAGAGGGGCAGAATAACCCTCCCTAGACCTGCTGGCCACGCTGCTTTGGATGCAGCCCAGGATGGCTGCCTGGGCTGTGAGTGCACATTGCCGGCTCATGTCCAGATTTTCATCCACCAGGATACGCAAGTCCCTCTCAGCAGGGCTGCTCTCAATCCCTTCGTGCCCCAGCCTGTATTGATACCAGGGGTTGCCTTGACCCAGGTGCAGGACCCTGCACTTGGCCTTGTTGAGCCTCATGAGGTTCGCATGGGCCCACTCCTAGAGCTTGTCCAGAAACTGGTTTTAAAAACTAGTAGAGGTAAGCTTGTTTCTTAGTGTTTTGCAGCTGCTTGGTACATGGATAGTCGCTGTGGTTGGGAGAGTGATGACCTCAGCAGGTTCAGAGGTGCCACTTCTCTTGGGCTGATTGTTCACAGTACATTCTGCATTTTGTGCTTGCTTATTTAATTAGTTGTGAGAATTGTTGTATGATACTTTAAAAGAAAATATTGTTACTGTTTATCTTCCTTTTTTCTTCTTCTTTTTAGGAACCAGTAATGAAGAATGACTCCACCAATTAAAAAGACAATTTACATTTATCTTTTCCAGAATAGATGTGTGTCAGTGAAGTTAATTTAATCAAGAATACAGAAAGATGCAAGTCCCTTTGCCATAATAATAATTATGCAAAATGCAACTTTCCTTTTTATAAAGCACTATGAGCAGGTGGTATAATCAGGAAGAAGACTCCATTGTAGGAAAACATTTAGATTAATTCTGACTTTCCTTTACATGAAGTGAGGAGAGAATGACAACAGTGACAGTCTAATGCATGATGAAATTCACTAAGCAGGATTTTATTTTTTTAGTTGGTGGAATTCTAATTTATGTAGCTGATATTGGAGTGGACTTCTGGGTAGCTAGTAAATATTTCTATCAAGGACAATATTCTTGGGGTATATTGATAATGTGTTTTAGAGGTCTTTCATCATTAATAACTCAGATATTCAGTTATGAGTGGTTTAAAAACGACTGGGAAGGTACTGATACTGGGAAGCCCAAATGGATTTTTCTAGTTCATCTTTTTCAGTGTGGAATTTTTATAAGGTAAGCACATTTAAAAATCTATTTTAAAATGAGAAATCATATTGCTTTAAGACAGTTTATTAAGAAATGCTTAATATGGCGTCAGGGACAAGACCATTTCTGGCCTTAACAATTATTGTTCCATGGAAGCAAATGGATATTTGTCTGCCAGGGGTAAATTATGTCAGGTTTTGATGGAAATGTAGATCTTCTTTCATTTTACCTGTAAGGAATAATTTTTATCATTCACAGCCTAACTCTATTTGATTCATCACCCTTTTGATAGGGCATATTTAATAAAAATGCCTGCTTTACAGGGTGATTTTGTTGTAACTGATAAATGTAACTTTTTATAGTGATGTTTAGAAGGGAATTAATTTGATTACACTAAGCAGGTGAGACAGCTGAAGTAAAAGGTAATTTTTGACCCTGAGAGTCTAACCATATTTAGAAAGACCACTAAGATTAGGGAGAGAAATGAATAGTTGAATAGTTAGTAAGAGTACTTGCAGCAGTACTTCCCACAGGGACAGAGTTAATGGTGACAGGAGCCTTTGTTTGCTGAAAGGCACATGTCCAGGAATAGTTTAAGATACCATATGCTTAACATTCAGTGGTGGCTTTGCTATAAAATTATCATTATCATCATCACTGTGGAGATCATTCGTGCCAAGATTTTACTTCCATTTCAAAACTGAGGTGAAAGATGTTGGCAAAAAGTCCTGAATTTTAATTATTTTGGGTATGCAACATGCAAGAAACATGAGTCAATACAGACTTATTGGTGGCACTTAATAAAATGCTTATTTAAAATGCCTCCTTTAACTTCCTATACTATTCTATGTACAGTGATGAAAGGCATATTTATGCCAATGTAAAAATTCCCCTCACGCACATGTTTTATTCAGTTGATGTTATCAATGGATGAAGGAAAATGATAGAGTTTTTAGGTGTCACAATTAACTTTTGCTTCTCATTTTTTTTTTTTCCTTTTGTCTCTCAGCTTTACTTCCCTGCTGCTCCTGCTCTTACAATCCTGAAGTTTTAGACTTCACAGAGGAGTATTTACTGACAGGTTTAATTTTTCTGGTGTCAGGTATTACAAAAACTTAGAAATACTACCTTTTGAAGAAAAAGAAAATCCCTTTTCATTTCTCTGGACAGTTTCTTATTCACTAACCAGATCCAGGGACATGGGTTAGTCTATGTGAGATATACCAAGACCTGGCCACAGGGACTCTGCCAGGTTCTGCCTTTTAGAGGGGATGTCTTGGGCCCACTGTGGCACTCTACTTTTTGTCTGTCCCCAAGGCTTTTCGTCTTCAGTTATGGCTGGGAGTGCCATTCTTGTGCTCACGATTTACAAACCTGCCCCTCTGAGTTTGTTTCTTCCAAAGGAAATTAAAGCCATGACCACTCTTTCTGATAACAGATGATATATGTTAAGCCAGTAGCTGCAGTGTGGAATGGCAGAAGCCACTGTTTTAATGTCTGGCCGAAAACCTCCCTTCTTCCCCTTTCTCTTCCATGACCTCATTCTCTGCATCTGTTCAGGACTGCAGTTCTGGCTTCACCTTTGGCTTGATTTTACATTTCCAGGTTGCCCCTAAAATTTCCTGCTTATTAGGGCCTATTTCTAAGACCTCACCTTTCAACACAGCCTTTCAGAATTCAGATATAAGCTCCGATCGTCTATAACTCTAGATACTGTAATCTTGACTCATGCTTGTATCTATTTAAAATACTGCTTTTACAGGCAAATCTTAATGGATTACCTTAACTCTAAGGTAATCCACAAAACTCTTGGTTTTACCTGAACTCATACACTTTCCAATGAATACCTCTTACCATGAAATTCTATAGTTTTTGAAGCTTCCTTCTCAGAATTAGCCCCATCTTCTCTGAGCGGCTTATTATCTAGTAAACATAATTTTGCCCTTTGCACTGACAGTGTTGTCAACTTGGTCACTTGTTCTCTATTGCACAAATGATACTTTCTCCTATGCTGCCACTTAGGCTGGGAAAATTTCCAAGTGGATTTGTATAAGTTACAAAGTTCTTTCAGCCACTCCTTAAAATTCAGCAGTGTGGTAATGCATACTGTAAAGTATAAACTGATAAGAGCTAGCTGACATCTGGGCTTGTACCTTTGTGATCAGCTATTATATACTTCCTATTAGACATGTTATCTTAGGTGTATCCATGTACAACTCCCTCCTGCCCTCCCTCTTAGTCATCTAAGTTAGTTTAGACAATGAGTCTTTCAGGTTTATCTCTAAAGTCAATGGATAAAAATAGATTTTGTCAGGAGCCAGGTTATACTTGTTAAGGTGAGCTTCTCCAGAAGGTCATTTGGGGCAGGAACCTATATTCTGCATTCACTACAGAGGAAAATAGGGGCCTAGCCAGTAAATATGACTGGGCCAGTGAACTTAGGATGCCTGAAATTATTAGCTCTGAATACAATTTACCAAATTTTCTTTCTTCCTTCATTTTTTCCTTTTTTTCTTCCTTTCTTTCTTCCTTTCTTTCTTCCCTTCTTCCTCTCTCATATATCTTTTACACCTCTTGCTCCATCTTTGAAACAAGGGACTGCATTATGTTATGTTTTTACAGTGCACAGCACAATGGGAATCAGTCTGGTTATGTTATCACACCGCCAGTGCTAAGTTATAAATATAGAAATCATACGTGTGTATACACTTATGTATGTATATATATAAAAATAGAGAAAAAATTATTTCATATCTAATAATGTTTAAATTTCTTTTAATGGAAAGAACGTAGACCTGTAATTATATTTCATACGAAATGTTATTCTCTGCAAGGAGACAAAATTAAGTTGGTAAACTATAGATTACCTATGCTGAAGAGAATTATTTTCAGCCTGACCCATTTAAATGGGTCACATAGATGTTGGTAGAACTGAGAACAGACTGTGGCATAACAGCCAACATTAAGACAATAACACAGTCAGTGAATGTGGAAAAAGAGGACATTTCTCTGGGGCACTATATGAATTCTGGAGTCCACTGACATGTAGTAGTTTGCAGCATCAGTCAAGGACGCCTGTGGAAGACTAAATTTTAGCAATTAATAACCTTCACTGTTCAGAATAGAAGGCCATACAGGCAGCAGCCATTGTGATATTGGCAGCTGCTATTTTGTTTCTTGATGCTTAAAGGTAGGCTCAAGATGCCCTGCATCTTTGAACAGGAGCAGATGAAAAAGAATTTTTGCATAGTTGTAAAGATGAGTTCTAAATCCATGAGGCATCAGAGTAAATGTGAATGCTTTGCTGAACTTGAGATTATTTCGTTACACATTTTTAAAAGGCAATGAGAAAAATTCAGTGTCAAGATAGATGATGTTCAGTTTATACTGGTACAGACTTAGGACCTGGTAAGTCACACCCAAACCAAGAATGGATCAAAAATGAGGACTGAAGCTGGTAACATGCCTCTAGCACTTTATGTATATAACAAGAAGTTCCACAGGACAAAATAAATAGGAAGGTATTTAAGATACCAAGTCAGTGAGGTACAGAGAGTCAATTAAAAGTTGAATGTTTGTAATTCTACTTTAAGTGAATTAGAGGTTACATAATAATATATGCTGATCACATTGTCTTAATATAAATTTACTGACCTCAGTGTTGACTTAGTTGCATCAGTTTCATGGATTTAATCCAAGCCTTTTGATACTTAGAAGATTAAGTTTAACATGCAGCAGAGAATAATAAAGGATTTATATGATGCTGTAAACTGTGACTGCGTGACCAGACTTTAGACAGGACAATCATTGTTGCCAGGTCTCTCAAACCCTGCCTGCAAGAATTTCTCAATAGCATCCAAATCTTTATCAGTGTAGTTTCATGAGATGGGACATGCAGTGTGGTACGGGGATTGTGGTGGAAAGTCGTCGGTGGAAATCTGAGGGGAAGCAGGTGATACACAAGCACTGGCAAGACAGTTTGCCTGTCACATGCGAAGGCTGTGAAGCTGTGAGGCAACAAATACACGTAGCTGTCACCTCTGTGAATTCCCAGTCAGAGCCAAAGCCTTCCTAATTTTACAGGAGACCAGGAGCAAACTTCATCCCTTGTGAAATGATGATGAAAATGTAGGAGTATCTCAAGAACAGAGACAGTGTCACTGTGTTTCAATGAGTGTTTATAAAAAGTAGGAGTCCTATCATCTGCATTCTCCACAAAGCAACACTACAAAGGCAGAAACCCTTTTTTTTCCTATCAAAACGAATATGTTATTTTGTAACACTCATAATTCTTTACTGTTCACATATGACAATTCCAGTTGTAAAGAAATTGTCATTTTTTACTCTGTTAGCTTCCAAGTAGCTTATATACCTTGGGCTAGTGAAAAAAAGATCCTCTTTAATGAGTTTAGAGGGAAAAAAGTAAATGGTAGCCCTCCATTTGTCTGTATTAATGACATAACCATTTCACCTTCAGTTTAAGGTGTACCTCTACTGAAAATACATATCCAATCCAACACTTTTAATTAATATATTTTTATTCCAGTTGAAGTAGCTTTTTAAAAGCCATTTTTTCAGTTTATGAAGATTGAAACACAGAACTTCTATAGCAATAGATATATTATAGGAAAATAGATTATAGGAATGTAATTATGATAGGTTCAGAGCAGGCACCAAGTTTAGGTGAGCTGTGAGCATGATAAAGAAGAAAATTGGAGCCTGACCTACCCTTTAGTATGAACTGAACTTTTCCGTTGGCTGTGAATGCAATTGTCCAACATTAGGTCTGAAAGCTGGCTATGCGCCCTTCCTAAAACGTCCTAATATTGCATGCCAAATGGGCAGATGGGAATGGTAGTGTAACCTCAAAATACTCTTAAAAGATTAAAAATTTGCCACAGTGAACTACAATAAGTGTCATGGGCATGTGGAGCTCAGGGAATGCCACCTCAATACATAGTCAAGGAGCAATGGAAGTATTTGGACTTTTCTAGAAGAAAACTATGTGTTCTATAAAGTATTCAAAGTCAGCAGTGGACTCACTGAAATAATTAAAACTAGTGAAAAATACGGTAGCATACCATCTTATAACACTATAAACCTAGTACACCATACTCAGTTTAGAAGGAATATGCTTCCAAAAACTGACGAGTGATTTCAGGTGTGCATCCAACTGAAATATTTCTTTTACAACATGTCTGGTTCTTACCTTGCGTATCATCTGCTTTCTCAGCTATGAGCTCTGTGGCTCAAAATTTGTGCAGCTAGTTTCCACTTCTTGCTGCTTGGACAAAAACAGGCTCTGGTGAATGAGTCCATGGACAACTAACAGATTGGTCTACCCAATTTCTTGTTCTTGAAAACATTGCAAACTCTCCAGATGTTTACATCTTGGATACCAGAACCAAATGTTTTGGAATACTAATTGTTTTATAAACTGAAAAAGCTATAGATGCCTTGCCAAACAGTTCAGTTCTTTGCTTATAAGCGTTTATTCAGAGAACAGTAAGATAAATACACAAAACCATAAAAGTAGAAGACAGTTTCCTTCGGGAGTAAATAATGGATCTGGAGCCAGCTCACAGAATCAACATATGGCCTGAATGGCAGGGCTGCAGCCTGTGAATCTCTGCAAGGAGAAGAGCAAAGGATCTTCCCCCAAGGCTCCTCAGCATAGCTGCTCCGCACCTACTACTGGTGCCTCCAGGTTGCAATTCCTACATGCTTTAACGTACCAGGGAATATGTCATGATTCCTCTAGCATGCACTTAACCCAGGACCTGCAAATCCCAGCTGTCTCACTTGTAGCTATGGAAGAACCCCTGGCACTGTCTCCCCTGTGGTCAAAGGATTTGATCTTTAAAGGTGGTGAAGGTGTTAAAAGTCTTAACACCTGGAGGAGCCAGGAATTCTTCCTAGCTCCCTTTGTAAGCAGAAGGAGACTACGCTCCAATGTCATACTGGGATGAGATCTGGGTGTCTAATGGCCTGCTGCTCCTGTTCCCTATGTAAGGGAAATGCAGCTGCATGGGCTTCATGGGATCCGTAGTGCCGGTGATCCTGTGGACGACCAGGGAAACAGGAACCTGCTGCACTTTAGCATGACTCTTGAAATTGTCTCAGATGCAGCCTTAGGGGATGGAAGTAGGAGGCAGGCTAAGGCATAGGACCTTGCCTTTCTGAGCCTGAACTTTAGCAGGCTTCTAATAAGATAACCAAGTGATGGTTTGTGGTGTTCTGCTTGATTTCTCAAGAAAATAGATCTGAATAAATGATGTGATCTTCATAATCCAGATAACTAAATTCTGTTGAGGGGGAAGACCTTTAGCAATGTTTATAGTGCTAGAAAAATTGGCTGAATAACTGAGTTTTCCTGAAAAAAAGGACTGCTTTACTGCTCTTGCCTACCAGTTATAGTCCAAATGTGTTCGCTGGAGAAGATTATTGAAAGCTCAAGACATCAGAGAACTGAATAGGCAGAAATAGGCTTGAAAGTGATGTCTGAAGACTTTTATGCTCAAAATCCTGTTTATGGGCCAACACACAGGATTTATATACCTATAAAGCCAAGAACTTATTATTACTATAAGTGAAATTGTAACAGTTGATTCCAAGAGTCATTATTAGTCTAGATCTATTTATTGCAGGAAAAGAAAGAATACTAGTATGCATAAAAAGTTTCAGTAATAATAATATGGTTAAAATTGTTACACACATATTTCTTAGTTCCTGTTCCTTTTCCTTGTGTTTTGCTCACCCTTCCTCTGCTCCTCTGGGTGTTAAGGTCAGCACTTCCATTCTGGCGTGTGGTGGGGGTCTTACCAGTGTCTGGAGTCTTGCTGGGAGGAACATGATGTTCATGTTGATGGTTTCTTCTTCTTCACTCTTAGGATCCACTTTGGGTCTTTTTTGTATGTTTGCTAATACACTTTTAGATTTCGCTTTCTCTTCATTTCTCTGCAGCTTCACCTAACATGGAAACTTAGTATCTATGGTGCCATTTATGCATGCTAGATACAATTTCTTTGTTCTCTTTGTTACCCCTAAAACTAGTTTCATACAGCTCTAGGTCTGCATTTCTATAACTGACCATTGGTGAGTTCTTTATAGTCATGGAGTTTCCAGTGTCCAGCCATCCCTTATCATCCTATGCATGTACTCTTCTACACTGTATCCTGTGTCTCCACATCTCAGGACATCGGCTATTGTATCAGGACTGTATTTCGCTATACTACATCATCATATCTGTCATAAATATCTCATTCAATACAGAATACCTGCTTGTTACTGTTACCTATGTAAAACTATGGCTGTACCACACAAAAACGAACAAAAGTAAAGCAAATTAGCCACCTGTTCAATTGGAAGAAATCACCGATTTTTCTGCAGAAAATACAAGCTAAACCAAGTAAAATGAAGTCACAGACAGGTCAAGAAAACGTCAAGCAGGGCAAGCCTGAGAAGCCTCAGTCCTGAGGCTGTAAGCCTTGCTTATGGCATGTTACCAGCAATGACAGTGCCTATTGGGGTGCTGCAGTTACAAGGCTTAGTCTAGAATCTGCCCAGCTGGTGTTACTGACCACTTGAAGTCAAGTAAAGAGCAGAAGGGACCAAGCATCGCTTTGCTTCAAGATAGGATTTACATGCATACTTATGAGGATACTTCTCTCTGCTTTGACTTGTTAACTAGTTCCAAAGTGTTCTTTGTTTGCTGCTGAACAGTTCAACTGGAAAGAGGTCTTTAGCTGTGAAAACCAGTTTTTCTGAAATTGCTCCATTTCATCTGTTACAGAAAGGAACGTAATGTTCCTGCCTCGCTTGGCTTCCAAAGCACTAGAGCAATGAGTCAGATCATTCACCAGGGCTGTGTGTCTCTGTGTGTGAGTCCATTAGGGACAGTGGAAATAATACTATAATTTCCAGCAGCTTGACTTCTGGTCCTACGTCAGGTTGTAACCACCATCCTGTTTTCCTAAACACAGCTGTAAAGATTACCACGTACAATAGCTGGTTCCTCCTTTAATTATCAAAATGTTTTCTGATTAAAATGTAAGCCTGCGCTCACCTCTTAGGTGCTATATCCAGCTCCAGGCCTGAAGCAAAGGTCTTGAAAATGGGAATAAGAGCTAGGTTTTGTTTATCCCTATGCATGGCATTAGAAAGATCCTGAACAGAAAAAGTTCTTTACCATACAGAATGCACACCAGTTAGTGACTAACTAATTCCATGTATCTTTGCATTTACTGCTCTTTAAGAGGAAATGTTCATTTAGGCTTAATTGAAAATAAACCAAAACTGTTCTAAAAGTCATTTGGGTGCACTCATTTGCTAAGGCAAATGGCTTTTTCATGTAAAACCACTCAGATTATTAATAGAATCTGTCAACCCAGGAATCCATGTGTCTTGCAAATAATTTTCTGAAATAAAAGTGTTCCTGAGTATTTAGAAAACAACACCTTAGTAAATTTTTTTTAACCCTGTTTTATATTTGCAATTAATCAGGTATTATCCTTGGGCTTTATGGATCTATATTATACTTACATAGACGTGGCTGTTCACAGCTGGATATTCACAAATACCCTTAAAAGAATACAAACAAAGTGAATGTGAATCTCAAAGACAGACTGAGAAGAGACGCTAAGGGAAATTTCAGAAATGCGGTACTTGTAAAGAAATAAGAACCTAACAAAATAAAGCTTCTAATCTTTATTCAAGCAAGTCTCATTCTGTTCTAGTAGTTTTCACATTTTATTAGTATCACTGGTCATAAATTATTATCTGATATCACTGGTACCAGACAGATATCGGACTAAATTTTTTCATAGTAGAAGGTGGTGGATTACATTCAAAGATGAAATGTGAATGAAGAATGAAATGGCAAAAATCCATGTTAGGCTATATAATTTTATTGACTTGCGCTTTTAAAAAATGCTGTCTAATCAAGTCCCTCTTTTTTATAGGTATTGGTTTGCTTTGAAGTATGGCTGCCAAGCTGCATTTAAACAAAACAGTAGCAGAGGTGCATCAGAAACAGATCCTTCCAACTTCATTCAACAACAAGCCATTGATGTAGTGACTGATATTAACATGCTCAGGGTGTTCAAGACTTTTCTTGAGACCACACCACAGCTTTTTGTCCAGATTTACATCCTCATGGAACATGGCAAAAATACTTTCTCTCAATGTGAGTCTGACTTTCTCCTTAATTTGCAAGTTGAGTATCTTACCTGAAAAGGTAACTCATGTGATTGGATAACATTCTAAACATACCTTGGAAGACATAAAAAGCCATAAAACCTTCTGTATTTATTTAGAATTTCTGTCCAGTAGATGCTCTGTTCTGCTGAATCCATGAGAAGGAAGATTTCACTATAACAAGTCATAATATCTCATAGAAACATAATGATGTATCACTTGAAAATAAGCTATGGAATGCAATCAGTAGATCATTTGCAGAGCAGTTTATTTTGTGTGTTTCTGCTTACCGTTTCTTTTAAAACTGCTAACTGGGCATCTTGAAATCAGTAATGTATTTAGAGCAGCCCTGTGAGCTGTCACTACCATCATCCACGTGTTACAGATGAGGGACAGAGTCAGGGAAAAATGTAAGGATATGCCAGCATTGCAGAATGCAGTATGATGAAGAGATACTGGTTCAACTCTAGGAAGCAAGACAGCAGCTGTACCATTTCCAGCTCTAAAACTAGCAGCGTTATTGGTAAGACATTGACTTACTCAGGGTTGGAATTTATCTAACCAAACTGAGGGACCTGCACTGCTGTCTACTATTCCTTCATAGTCCATGGAGTCAACAGGTACTCAGACAAAATGGTCAGATGAATCTCATCGTAAATAGGACCATGTGAAGGGTCAAGTCTTAGTTATAGACTTCTACTTTATAGACACCCCATAGCCAGTATCAGTTGCAGAAACTTAGGTTTTAGTGGGCTATTTGCAATACATTGGGAATTTCTAAGTCATCTGTGTATGGAGTTGGCAAATATGACACACAGCTTAGGCGAGACCATCAACAGCCAGAGGCCGGGCAGGATGGCATAGGCATCCCAAACAGCATTAGATGCCTAGATTTAGGTAACTAAACTGAGCTTTAGTGGTGGGTTGACCCTGGCTGGATGCCAGGTGTCCACTAAAGCCGCTCTGTCAGCTGGACGAGGGGAGATAATAAAATGTAACAAGAAGCTTGTGGGTTGAGATAAGGGCAGGGAGGGATCACCCACCGATGGCTGTCACGGGCAGAACAAACTCGACTTGGGGAAATTAATTTAAT